TCATCATGGAGAAAGTAATCCAGGGTATCTAAAGCGTGTCATAAACTCCAAATACACAACAGATAATAAATAAATAGATAAATAAATAAATAAGTAAATAAATAGTAGAGAAAGTTGAGAAGCTTAAAAGGTTACAGAGGGAATTGAGGTCATCCTTTCAAGAACTTCACTTCCATAACTAGAGAATTATCTCTCGCTAGAAAGGTTTGTCGTGAGCTACACTGAAAATCCCCTCCAAAAAAAGAACCAACAACAAGGTCTGCAATAACTTGCAATTAGGAGACTTTCAGAAAATGACACTGCGATTAATTCTCAAAAAAATACACAGTTTTTGCGTCTTTGTGTTTTTGCGCTAAGTCTAACCTGGGTGCTTTTCCAGAAAATAGTAAAAACAGCGCAAATAAGAGGACTAACCCATCCACTGTCGACATTCATATCCGTGCACTATCCAATAAGGATTCACGATGTTTTTGCCCAAACAAATCGCCTCCAGTAGCCGCTCCGTGCGACGTCCATTCGTTGTCACCAGGTGTGTACATTCAGACACCTCCTCACACGCTCGCCCGCCCAAATATCGGAGTTTCTGAACAATGTACCGATAGTCACCGCATACTGAATGCTTCAATTATTAGAAATCACAAAATAGCAAAAAGTAAATAAATAAAATAGAATAAATAAACAAGGTTTTGGAAAGATACTAGGCAATAAAGCATGGAAATGAATTACCTGAGTTAAGACATGCTTATTTTCGTCATCAATTCCACTGAACGCAACCACGTATGCAGGATGCGTGGTGCCAGACTTCTTTGTGTTCCTGTGCTTTGGCCGCGATTTCCGCTTCACTTGGAGGCGCTGACTGCATTCTGAAGTAAGAACTCTTTTTGATAACAGAACGTAAGATAACACAAAATTGGACGCAATTCTTCGCTACACGCCATGCATACGCCACTAAAGTTTGATCGTACAAGCGAATGATTGCAATGTCGCGATAATAAATACTTTGAAAAGAAAAAAAATGAAGAGTCAATCGAAAAGTATAGCAAAGGCAAGTTAGGAACGACAGTCAAAATATTATAATTTCAGGAAAACGAGAAAACATGAAAAAAAGATTTCCACTGACCGCAACTTCTTATTCGGGAAGACGCCTTCATCGTTCTCGACCGCTTGCTTAGTATCAAACGAACGTCGCCATTGCTCGGGGGATACAATCAGCGGCATTTTCCAAGCAACTAAGAAAAAACAATGTTAATGATATAAACTTTAGGCATTAAAAAGTATTGATGGTTTTGGTTTTATCCTTCTATTATATAAAGCGCTAACTTTGTGTGTCGGTTTGTGTATCTGTATGTGTGTGTGTGTGTGTGTGTGTGTGTGTGCGTGTGTGTGTATGTATGTGTGTCCGTCCGCAAAATGAAGTGAGTGAGAAGGAAGCTCATGGGATAAACAAACCGCTAACAAATCGGGTAGCTTACAGGATTTGAGATATCAATGTTTTGTAGCAGGATAGTTGTGATAACACTCTTAGGGCTATATAAACACCTGCTTAGCACACTTCCGTTCATTCCACATGGTGCTGCAGTGGCAGCTGGAGGGCAGTGGAGAGAGGAAGGGAGGATGAGGAAGGGAAGCGAAAAATCTACCGTCATATCATGATTGTGTCCCTTCTACTGTATGAAACACCATTGTGTTGCATACGCGTCACTTCCAGGAGGTGTTGGTGTCACAGGAGGAAGGGACCATAGCGGAGGATAGAAAGCTTGCGCAGGAAAGGAAGGTCCCGGCGGTTGACGGGGGACTAATCTGGTAATATAATAAACAGTAGAAATAACGTGAGTAAAAAATATATAAACAACAAAATAATGATGAGTAGTAAATTAATAAAAATAAAAACAAAAGAAGTATAATAAACAAAAAATGAAGCAAAGACACACTTTGTTCTTATACATTCTGATTCACGCAATGTAGAAAGCTCAGGGTACAGAACAATTACTAAGTTTAGACCAATTTATATCCAGTATTATGAAGAGAAATATAGAAGCTGCCAGAAAAACTTACGTAGAAGCTGTTTGAACTGATCGTTAATCATTTCCAATGCATAAGGACCCGGTGAGACCCCATCACATGGCTGACCAAGCTGAAACAGAAATTAATTTAACATAAAAAATAATAAAGCCGGCACAAACTCTCTGAGGGAACAAACCTGATAACGTTGATTATCAGCTTCCACCCTTTGACCGGCATAGTTATCAGCCAACCATTGATAATTCACCACTTGGATATCCCATTCACGTGCCTTCTCGACTTTTTCAACGCCAGCGCTAAAAACATCAAAAATAATGATACCATAATCACTGCCACTATAACAACGTTACTAATAAGTCTGAGAGCATAAGAATGGCTCATCGGTCGAAAATCGATCGAGTGAAGCTCCACAAAAATTACACTCCAAAACTTCCCTATCCATAAAGACAGTATGAATATTCAATAACACAATATAGAGAACCGATAGAATAAATGAGCCGAAAATCTTTGAACAACTAACGTCTTAGCAATCAGAAAATTATTGTGACGGCTGAGGTACGGGGTGAATCTCGCTCCCATGCCTCCACCATGAACTTCATCGCGGCCCGTTCACTTTCGTCGAAGCCAGAAAATGAAATCAACTGAAAAGCGTCGTCCTGAGTCGATTTTCAACTTTGAAATTAAACTTGGAGGGTCTGGAGAACCAAAGGAGCTGCAACTGCCACTAGGAAATGCATGTGATGTAAACTTGAACCCATGTCGAACCAACGGACCTTCCCTAGAAGCGGTCTGCAACCATCTACAAACACCGACGGCAAATGTGCATGCCGCCACGGCACATCCATTTGTTTCTTCATGAGCACATCCACCAACCACTGCATTGTCACCAGACGTTTGCGATCTTTCAGGGCCTAAAAATAAGTTGACCTATTGGGAAGGTAGCTAGTGAAATGGCAATAAAAATCACAGTTGAAAGCAAACTAAAACAGAAAAAGAAAAAGTAAACAGCGCACCAGATGGGCGTGTTGGGTCCTTATAGACTCGACAATGACGTGCGTAATCGCCCCGGCTCGTTCCGCATAGGCCTTTGCTCCGAATTCTATATCCCCGCCGTGCATTCGAATCGCCAACACAATATTCGGTAGGTCCAATTTATCCGTAAACATTCGATCCATATCGAACATATGCAATACACAACCCGCCAAGCAAATATCCGGATGAACTGAAATACCGGTTTTTTTGACAGGAACTTTCTAGATGGAGGAAAACATTCCCTAAATATTCTAGTCATGAAGTGAAGTATAAGCCTGCTTTAACAAGGCCTTTTATTGGTTCCAATGAAATAAAAATTCGAGGAATGAAAATATGGGGCATTCAACCACAGCCGTCCTACGGCAAACTATCCTTCTAACAAGAGGCCGTGATGAAAATTGTTCTATCAACAACAGGCCCTGTGAAACATCTATCAAAAGTGAAACCACTAGTCTTCCCCAGAGATCCAAGGGATTTTAGTTCCTGGGCTAAGAAACACCACCCTGTTCGGAATCTTATCAGTTAACAATGCAGAAGATAGCTTGAAGATGAAAGAATCTTCGGGTTTGGCATGCACGCGGCGGTAACCCGCTGGCAATTAATGAAGAATAAATAAAAGTGATTAAGCAAAATAAAACTATACAAATTAAAATAAGTAATATTGATTTCATCCACGACAAAGGAAAATAAAGCTCACCATTCATAAGCAAATTCGGCTCATAAGTGAAAAATTGGCTAGGTATGACTGGTTGCTGAGGTGTCGGTACCATGCGTATTGGCTGCGTAACCATTTCACCTGAACGAAAGTCTTGAAAAACAAGTAGTCGACGTTAATAAAACAGAAAAATTTGAAAATAATGAAAAGGCAGGAGAAAGAAGTAGAGTAAGGAAAAAAGGAAAGTAGACAGCACAACTAACTAGTAGGAACGTGCAACAATTTCCTTACACAAAATCTCGGCTCAAAGGCAATCTAGTTATACGACTGATCGAGTGAGTGTCAGCTAATAAAAGGCTCGAGTACAGCTACGGTATAGCTGATTAAATATCACATATCGCCAGGGCACCATTAATCCTCCACGAACGAAATCTTATCGAAATAGGCTTGAAGACCAGCGTTTTAGGAACAAGTGAACGGCTCGATCAACGCTCAAAAGAAGGACAATCTGGTGAAGTGATTCAAAAAAGGTACACTCAAGAACATGTGGAGAGGATGTTTATGATACACTAGACATGTGACAAGGCACATGGCACCTTCTCAAGGACATACGTTCACAGGGAATAGATTTTTTGAGAAAAAAGACCGAAGAGAGAAGGACCTGCGGATCTGTCATTGCAGTGTGCTCCCATCCGCACGATTGCAAAACTTACCAGGGAGGCATCCACACTCCCATAGATATTGAACTGACACAGTTTGTTGGCTTCAAATGCCTGATTACAATATGGAATCTAAAATTGCAAAATGAACCTACCAAGGAAGGTGTGAGCAGTCAAAGTAAAGTGTTGCATATGAACCATGCTAGACACCAGGCTTTCAGAGTCGCCGCGGAGTAGTGGTAATGCCCTCACTCTTCACCCCGGCGGTCATGAAGTTCTTTTCCTTTGAAGTGCAAATTTCGAGAGCGCTACCACCACTCCATGGCGAATCAAAAGTCCGGAGGTAGCACGGTTAACACGCAACGCTTGACATTCAGCCAACTACGACTGCTCACAACTTCTTTGGAAGGTTTATAGTTTAGGCTATGTTTGTGATCAGCCTTGAAACTATTTGCTTATCTGGGATCTCAACTCAATTCCAATGGGAAAAATGTATGTCTTTCTGGTTAGGGAAACATGACTGCTATCTTAAAGTAAGGATGTAGTTTCATGCGGTTTCAAGCCATTACTCAGCATTAGGAGTTTCTTCCATCTCTCTGGGAGGTAGAGATGAGGTTTTCAAGCTATTACCCTGAATCCCAATCAAGGATCATTGGCCATGCATGTTATGGCGAGGTTACCCTATTGTAGCCTCTTGTTTTGGGTGTACAAGACTCAGCTCATTGAAATAACAAGGACCGAGAAAATGGGATGGAGCGTTCGCTAAAGACGGTAGACCAGTGCTTAGGAGAGGATTCATCAACAAGTTGAGTGAAGGCCGACCAAAAGGACGGAACTCGGTGGACATGATGAAAGATGAGTAGTCTTCCAAAATACTAAGGGTTACACATAGTAAGGAAATCATGTTCGAATAAATCGGTTTGCTTAATTTAACCCCCATACGATTAGGTACGCAATGCCTAATTCTGTGCTCCAGTGCTCCAAAATGAACAATCCACAGAAATTTACTCGGAATGCCTACCATTGCTCATGGGACGTGGCATGGTGGCTTGGGGAGCCATTGGTGCTTGTGTTGGAGACATCAACGGCGGCGATCTCATGTCAGTCGCGTAATGAGGCGATGGTGTCGGTTGTGAAAATCGCGATCCTGAAATGAAGAGAAATAGACATCTCATGAAGCTCACATCCTATTTGATCAGGTGAACATAAATGATATCTGTTTTGCTAAACCACAAAGCGTTCAGCAGTTGCTCTACAGATACTATAGAAAACAAAATTTTCATCTCTTTCATCGACACCGTTTGCAATGCCTTTGTGCTCGATGGTGGCTTCTTACTTACGGACAACACAAGAAGAATTTGGCAAATGCTTATTTTGCTAGTAGTGTGACGTCATCGAAAGTTTCCAGACGAAAAATGTTATTCTGCAGTTTGAGTCAGGTCAGATTTCGACTTTAAGGTGTACATCTAAGGCAAACTTCACTGTGGCAGTACCTACAGTTCCGCCGAAGACACTCCCTATTACAATTCATCAAAAATTCAAACCAAAAACTCTATGAGTGACTTAGGAATACACGACCGCAACCGGCTTACTCAGACAATTTTTGAGAAGTTGGATGAAGCAAATAACATATTAGTTCTCTTATTAAATGCACCATTTACAAGTAGCATTGGTCTACGTACAAGCTGATGACAGACTGGTGTCAGACTTTGCGAAGCCGCGGATTCGCTAATGACGAATCCCGCTGGATTAGCAAATTTTGACGCCGGCCACAGAACGAAAACTGCTACAGAAAAAAGGCTTCAAGAGAATAAAAAGAGGAACTAAATGGAAATGTCGAGGAAAAAGGAAACTAAAGAAAAAGAAAATGTAAAAATCAATTGGAAAAAGGCTGCTTATGCTCCTCATAACAGGAAATTTGAAACACGAGATCATCCACCTTAGCAATTATCACTAAACGATCAAAGGCTATGCGAACTGAGGAAAAATCAAATATCCCAATAAGGAAAGCTACAGACATTTCGCTGAAAGTCAGAGACAGAATGAGGCTGAAATGTACTTTACACTCATTCTAGAACCATTTTAAATGCATAGGTTTGCCCCATGCAGAGGGTGATAT